CAATTTGAACGCATCAAAATCCACACAGGTCGGATCGTGAGATACTCGAAAATACAATATGATATACCGAAATTTTGTATTTTGTAACACGTTTTTCATGTGTCCAATTAATTTTTTGACAATGTATTAATTCCAGCGCCCCAACGAAATTGGCCCCACTGAGTGGACTGATGAGAAACACAGTCTGTATCTGGAATCTATTGAGGCAACGTTCGTCAATCAGCTAAACAAATCTTTAAATTTTTTGGGCTCGAAATCTTTGCGTGCTTCCTCTGGCAAGGTTCAGCTTCTAACACCCCATGTGATTTTTATGAATATATATAAAGAAATTGTCTTTAAAAATTACTACTAAAAGGTTTGGGGTAGTATTGAAACAAATTCAAATTTCAAGTATGCATCGGTAAATGCCTCGAGGGGTTTGTTGTAATTTTATAAGAGAAACTGGATTATGCTATGACTCTGTTCTGATTTTTGTAATTCTATTTTGTGGGAATTTTTTACCAATGCAGTTTACTGTTTTACGTGATGGTCGTTGGTCAAAAATTGAGTCACTTCTGGAAAATCAGTGGATAAATCGCTATAGGTGTTCAGGAAAACGGGAAGTTGTGAAATGCTTGACTGATCCCCGTGTGGAAGATCCTTTAGCTACCTATTCGAATCAAAGTCTTGCAAATAACTTTCGATTTTGGCACCAAGATTCAGTGGACACCAATGCAGGTAGTTGTTTTTCCCAAAAAAAAAAAAAAAAAAANAATAATTATTGTCAGGTTTAAGTATACATGAAATTCATACATGGTTTGCTTCAAGTTATTTATTTTGCCTAGTGAGTTCAACTTTGCAGAAGCTCGAAAATTACTAATAAGCTATAAGCTAGTTTATCAACTAGTTTTACCAACAGTCATTAGAGACGATAAAGATTTTTGAAACCATACTAGGTGAAGTACCATTCTGACTTATGTTGTCCTTTTGTCAGAGGTGATGGGTCAGAACTTCAACGAGGAAGGTCTCGAGGAGCAAGCTAGCAGGGTGCACAAATTCAAGAGAATGAGAAATTCGTCACGCGAAGATCAAGTAATTTAACCAAATTTAGTTTTGACATGTTCTAAAAGTTACGATTTTCGGTGCTAATTTGATATCTCGGTTTGCGATTCACACGACGACCAGAGGATGATTCCCGTAATATATACACTTGGGTTTTTTTAATGCCTCCCTCGAGGACCCATCCTTGGGAGACCTACTCAAACCGTACTCCGACATTTACCAGGAAAAGCCCGATCGGATGAAGGTGGATAAATCGATGTTACTAAAGTGGGTAGTTTCATGCCATCAAAAGCTCAGGAGATGCGGTGTGGCAGAAGACCCAACTCTCGAGGAAGCAAGAGGGATCACCTAGGCTGAATAAAGGAATCCAAAAAATCCACTTACCCCAGAAAGAAGGGCGAAGATGCCAGTAAGCGAGGGAAGAAGAAGCTTTTAGGCGTGATCTCTCTCTGCTTTTCATAGGCCATCTTGCGCCTATGGGCCGCTATAACTATCCAAGAAGACACTCATTGAGGCCTTTTTCTATTTCTATTCCAGCTGAACATGCTATTTGTTTTTCCCTATATTGCTGGGGACTCTGGTGAAAGCCTAATTCCAATCGAGAAGTTGCCTTAAAAGTCAAAGCCTTACTAACTAACAGCGGATTAAATAATTGCATATTACGTCACCGACTTGGAAGCTGTGAATAAAGCCCTTCTTTAAAGAGCCATTTCGATGATTTTATTATAACAGTGGGTAAATTGTCTGTTTCAGGTTGTCCCTTCTGAGAAAATCGGTTAAGCGGGTTATTTTTGTGACAAAACTATAAGCCTTGAAGATTAGAATTCTACGACATCATATTAACTATTTTTTTTTTTTTTTNTTTTTTTTTTTTTTTCATGTTCTTGATGGGCAGTGGCTTGATCATTTAACTTTCTTGAAGGTTGATGTTGCCAAGCTGTAGTCATTGTAGAATTCGATCATTGATTTGGTGATTCATTTCCATGTTGTGTTCTTATTATCAGGTGATGAATATTCATGTGTTAAGGACAGTATATAGTGAATGATCTGCTTGAAGGGGCTTATTTCTTGGCTGACACTTGTGGTGGATCCTTTTTTTGGGGCTAACTAGTACGTGGCCCGTGATGGAAACATTATTACGATTTTATATAAATTAAATATATAAATAACATTGATAATGATTTATTCCTTGTTTTCAAAATTAGATCGGGTTAGACCGTCCGACTGAAGAGATCGGGAATCGGCTTATCGACCAATTTGGTCCGCTTGAATAAAACATTTGCTAGCGAATACGTTAACACCAGCCTGACTAGTTGGTACGATTTTCTGAATAAATTTTGTTGCATTTAAATTATTTTATATAAATAAAAGTACATATTTAAATAAAATGAAGATTATAATTTATTTGTCAACTAGTTTTAACATTTGAAAACCTTAAATTGTTTACATAATTAATAAATATTTTTTAATTTAAATTTATTACAAAAGCAAGATATATGTATATATATATATATTAAAATATTAATACAATAAATTCTGGTCAACGAATAAATCATTGAACAAATAATTTAATTGTTGGTAATGGTTCGATTTTGAAAATCTTGGATTTATCGTCCATTAATAAAAGTTGCAATACAATATCATTTTTTCACATAAATATAATAAAATGATATATAAGTAGTCAACATGTCGTCATATAAGTATTATTAATATGATTATTTGGAGTTTAGACTACATTATATTTATCGTAATAAAGTTTATAATTAGTTAAAATAATCGATTTTGTCAGATCGAACTGACTCGTAACTTGGTCACTGTGATAAAGTAAAATTTTTTCATGTTCTTTGACTATTTTAAATATTACCTAATATTCATTCAGTCAACCTTGGCAGGAATAAATAAATAAACAATTTTTTAGCATTTAGCCATCCAATTTTCTCTCCCTTGACCCGACGAAAACCCTAGCTCCCGACATCCAATTTCGCTGCGATTAGCCTTCTCCGGCGAAGGGGCGGCTCAGGCCAGTGGTCACCCTCGACCGCTCGGCCGTCCCCGCCATCGCGCCTCTTTGGATTTTGCTGCTAAGGGTCGCTCTGATGTGTGCTCTGCCCAAGGTCGCCGACAAGCTGTGACTGCGGTGGTGTTCGATCTGAGGCGGGTGGTTTCCCTGGAAGCCGGTGATCTTTGATTGGATGGTTAGCCACTCAATTGCAGCGGGTCGATGCTTGGAGGTTCATCGGTTCAGGATGGGCTTCTGGGTTGGGATTTTGGGGCTCGAGCTCGAGATGGCAGCGGCCTGCGGTGGTGTTGAGAGGCGTATTGGTCGGCGGGCGGTTCGAGGCTCTGGCGGCCGTGATGTATTCCGTCCGGGTGCGGGAGTAGCAGGTACGGGCAGCTCTCTTTCCATCTGGTTCTCTGGTGTTGGGAAATTGGTGGGCCCGGCGCCTATTAGCTCGGCTAGTGGTGTTAGGCGAGCTAGTGCGGGGCTGTCACAGGGAGCTGGTTGTCCTCTCGGTCGAAGGTGGGTTGATTCGGGTTAGTCTCGTGGTCCGGGCTTGGCTTTTGTATAGGCGTTCGGTAGCAGTTTCGGAAGTTGGGCCTCGGGCTTCGGACCTTTCTTGGATTGATTGGTTCTCTACTGGTTCAATCTGCTTTATTTGCTGGGGAAGGGCACTATGTGTCGTCTTTAGATGTTTTGTTGTTTTTTTTTTAGTTTGTGTTTTTGTCTGTATTGTGTTGTCTGTGTTTGTGTTTTTGTATCTGTGTTCGTGTGTCCGTGTGTGTTTTAGGTCTGGGTCACTTGGCCCCTGTGCGAGGGATTACTCCGTTGGAGTCGTCCCACATTACCTCGTTGGGGGTCGTTCCACATTACCTCGTTGGGGGTCGTTCCGCAGTAAATTTTTAAAAATTATATTAAGATTTTAAATTTATAACAAAAAACAAATTAAATATATATATTAAGTTAAAATAAATATTTATATCTTAAATTTATATATTAAGATTATAATATAATAAAGATAAATTAATTATATCTTACTTTATGCAAATCTATAAAAAATAAACATAATATTGATTATTGAATTGACACGATGACTGGATATCAGCATTAGTTACTATGTAGCAGATATATTTTGCGTATCAATTGATGTGTTTGTAGTATGGTATTCATATGTTATTAAATATCATAAACGGATGTGTTATTTACGAATAAATTTCTTTAAAAATAAATTATATTCTTATTATATATAGAAATAACTAAGACAAATTTCTATAAGTGTTGTAGTCTTGAAATAATAATTATAACTATACAAAAATTATTTATCTTATGATTTTAAACGAAGATTGTTTCCAATAATGTATACAATGCCGACAAAAAGGAAAAAAATAAATAAAAATTCTACACATTTTTTTTAGTAACTAAAAATTTTTAGTGAATAATTACGCATAATATTTCAAGTAAATGCCAAACATTTTTATATATACTATTGTCTATCCCGTGCAATGCATGGAGTAATAGTGTAAAGTATAATTAAGTGTGAATGAATATTAATTAGGATAAAATAGTTTAGAATAATTTTATTTTTTCTTTCATTTAAGTGATATATAATATTTTAATATATAATTTATATATTTTTTAACCCATTACAAAATATTTGTTTCTAGAGTTCTTGTTTACAATAAAGGAACATAAAAAATTAAACTATTCAAACATTATAAATAAATTATAGTCATGAAAATACTTCTCTCTCTTTCTTTGCTCATATCTTATTACAATATATTATTTCGATTCCTAAATAAGTGAGGATAAAGTTGAAAATTTGTTAAAAATGTTATAAACCGACACCTAATTTAAAAAGAACGGCATATATTATTTTAAAGTTACAAAATTTACTAATTTTCAATTACATCAAAATTATATTTAGTTTTTTTATAATTTATAATAATGTGAATGATAAAAAATTTAATTTTCTTTATAGTCTAATAATTTATATGATAGTTCGACACCGATTTATTTATCATTATATTTTATAATAATATAAATTATAGATATTTTTTTCTACGCGAACAATTTACGTTATTGTTCGACATATGACTTGTTGGTTTATCATTATAATTTATAAGAATATACATTATATATAGTATCGTAAAGACCTCCGACCGGCTAGAATCAATCTGCTCTTGAACGCCTTTGGACCTGCAGAACTCTCACACCGGAAGGGTTTTCTCGGTGAAGAGTCTGTTAGTGTTATATACTGAAAGCTTGGTTTTGGATGATATTACACTTTTATCCTTTATGAATGAGAATCATGTTTGATTAAACAAGTTCTATATTCTGTTGTTTTGCACTTAGATAAAATGGTCGTCATCGGACGAACAGAAGATCATTTTATCAGTTACTTGCGAAACAAGAATTGAAGTTCACAACCTAGATGGAAATGAACACTCCATCCGAACGATTGTAGTGTCAATGGTACAGTTGGTCTTGACTGAATAGTTGCACCAGTTGGTAAAATTGTAATCTATTTCATAAAATCGTGGACCACTCTTAATTGATGATTAGGCAAGAATATCTATGTATATTTCTTGTGTATTCTTATCGCGGTTCTGTTTAATTTCATGATACACACGTTCATGTTAATACTATGATAGTGTGAATGAGACCAGTCGTATTCATAAATTCACTTCAAATGAAAATAATACTTCATTCTAATTGAAAAATAATCACGAAGGACAAGATTCATGTAGAAAAATAATCATAAAGTAATAATGATATTTAGTTAGGAAAATCACCAAGATGGTATATAAGAGACCGAAAGATAAAGTAAATAACTATAAATGTTTTCTAAATTTGAGCAAGAAATGAAAATATATAATATATTTTAGTGTATTTTATAGTAAATGAATAACATTATTACTTTAAGTTAAGCGGGCATATATATATGTAAAATTTTTACATTTACATCCAGATTTTAAGTTAGTTATATATATATATATATATATATATATATATATATATATATATATATATATATATATATATATATATATATATATATATATATATATATATATATATATATATATATATATATATATATATATATATATATATATATATATATATATATATATATATATATATATATATATATATATATATATATATATATATATATATATATATATATATATATATATATATATATATATATATATATATATATATATATATATATATATATATATATATATATATATATATATATATATATATATATATATATATATATATATATATATATATATATATATATATATATATATATATATATATATATATATATATATATA